TTTGCAATCCGTTTCCATCCATCGGTTTAACGGTCGAATCTTAAAGCATCTCCATTCATATAGGATAAAAGAATAATAAAGAGTAATTTTTGCTTATATTACGATGTATTTCTATTTTTCAAACATAAACAAAAGCTCGAAAGGGATGCTGGTGGATCATGTCCATTTAACCCCTATACGGCCAATAACAAATAATTTTTCATAGATTTATTTTTTGGTGACCCATGCTATCGAAGCACCTCAAAATGCGGGAAATCACATGGTTTGAAATACTCCAGTTTCAAGATCCTATTTGTGTGGCCTTCAACTCAAAAGCATGTAATATATTATTTTATTCAGCAGAGATCCTATTGTAATGCAAACACTCTGTGTAAAAAGAAGACAATAAAAATTTATGCTTGATTTATGCAAAGCTTACACAGAAGAGAATTTGAAACTGGAGTATTGAAAAATCCATTGCTCCTTCTACATGTAATATTGATCTAGCTTTGGCAATTGTTATCCCCTCAACCAAAAAATGCACTGCATTCGCTGTCACATTCGGTGCCTGAGCACGGTGGCTGGGGATGGGCACTGTATAAGGTATAGAGCTTGAAGAATGTCTTGATTTCAGGAACCATGTGATTACGCCATTGCTTCAGTACGAAACCTCTTTGCACACATTCTGGCGTGCAACAAACCAGTAGTATTCCATAATGGCCTGTTAGATTTGGTCTTCTTGTACCAGAACCTCTACTCAGACCTTCCTGRTAAACTGGAAGTGTTTACTTCTGATGTGCATGGCATGTTTACTGCTGGGGTTTTTGATACAAAATACATTGCTGAATTCAAGCAAAGAGAGCCAGCTTCTTATCTGAGTTATATATTTAGAAAATGGTGAGTTTTCTGTGTGTTAGTACATCGATTTTTCACACATTGTGTTAGCAGGGAGAATGGCTGTATAACCAGTAAAAGTCTCCTTGACGGTTTGCTGCGCCAAAGGTAGCCGTGCCTTTGCATTGAAGCAAGATGACCATTGAGCTTACAGCTTTGATAGAAACCTTTCAAACCTACAGACAATTCTTCACTGGTACATATCTATCATTGCATGCTCAATGGTCGTCTTGCTTTGATGTACAATGTAAAGGCACAACTACCTTTCAAGATGGCACAGGTAAACCCTCTGTGACAGCCAAGTAATATTTCGTAGATGGATTTTTTTTACAAATTAAAATGGACTGTAAGATGCTTAACGGGACACAATAAGACGCATATTGAAAGTTAATACAATGTATCAAAGACAGTTCAAATTCTTACATAATGTACATGTTTTGAGGTATAAGTATTTCTATGCAAGATAATTGTTGCTGTTCACAGTTTTGTGACTTGCACTGATATTAAATATATATGTACAAGTCATGTAAGATCTTAGACGTCAGGGCCAGGTTTTCAAAGCTCGATTAGTGCTAATCCTGGGTTAAATCTTAAAAAACCTATGGAGTTAACCCTGAATTAATGCTAATCAAGCTTTGAACAATCCGGTCAAGGTGTTAGTTCTTGCATGAATCACTGCTAATACAAAGGGCCATTTAACTTTGTTCATTAGCTTAAACTTTTCACTGCACTCTCATTAAAGAGTCCCAGTTCCAGTTCATACATGTAACAACAGAGCAACCAACCAGTCCACGAATTACCTCTAGATTTGACATGTCTGGTGGTTGGTAGCTCTATCATTGACAAGTAATTAATGACAAAATCATTGAGACAAAGTTTTCTTTCTTTTAGTCAGAGGTACAACACTAAAACTCAAAAACACATCAAAGTTGCATTTCCAACAGAGACAATAAGCAGCCAATGGATTGAACATCTTTGCTGCCACGAACCGCCAAGGCAACTTGATGAGACGAGTGGTGTTCAAATTTGTGAACTTTACGCTGTAGGTGCTGTGTTTCTTTTTCATTATTTTTTCTTTGTTGGTTTTTAGTTTGAAATGTTCTTCAAGTTTTTTGGCAGGATAAATGACAGTTTACACCTTTTGCTGTTCATCATTTGTACAAAATATACATTCATTTTCATCAGCAAAAAGACATTCATCATTTTTTCTGTTCAATTTTCTCATCTTTTCATTCATTGGATAATTTAATTAGTAATTTTACTATTTATTCTTTAAGGCTCATGGGTTTTGTCGGCGTGGTGCAGATTGTCATTTGTCACATGACATCGACCAGATCCTCGACAAACAGGACAAGATGCTTAGCAAGAAAAAGAGAAAAAATAAGAAAAGAAAAACTGATCGTGATGAAGGTAAATAGAACCTCTGATATGAACAGTGACATCATTAGCTTCCTTCTGAGGCAACCTGCTTATTTTGTGTTTCACTGGATTTGGGATTCCTGTGTTGAAAAGGTGTTTTCTTCCTTCCCTTTGGCATCTTGTCCAGTCCCAGGCTCTTTCCACAGGGAGTCCAAAAAGAGAGAGAAATGCATATTTCTAACATGTCAATCTCTTTCAGATGAGACTCCATCCAAGAAACAATCACATGGAAATTCACCAATAGAGCAGAAAGACATAAATATTAATACCTCTGACAACAATGCTGTTGCTTATGACACTCCAGAGATAAGTACATTGTCAAACAATAATACAGCTGGCGGACACAGGGTGGGGATTAATGACGTAAATATGAACATCTCTGACAATGATGCTGTTGCTCACGACACACCACAGATAAGTAGAAATAATGTTACAACTGGCGGACACAGGGCAGGGATTGATGCATTTATGACAGGATATTGTTTAGCAACATATATTTTACTACATGGAAAACATGACCTTAGCAACAGTGTCCATGGATACAGTAACCTTAGCAACAGTGAGCTGGTAAATAAGATGTCTTTGAGTGGTAAGGAAGTTCCTTTAACTCTTGCTTGCAGCCATTTTGCGAAGCCGTCTCTGTTGCACATCAATAAAATGAAGAATATAAAGGTGAAAATGTGCCAAATTAGGAGCCAAAATGTTGACTACAATCTAGAGATAAGTAAGACTAAAATGTAAGTAAAGTCAATTTTACTTATTGAAGATAAAAAAAAACACCAACACTTAAAGATTTAACTCAAATGTAAATAATTATAACACTTTACAAATAAAATTTATTACAGGGTGTATTTAAAATTTGCCAACGTCTGATCAGGCATTTCTCAAATGGATTAAATTATTTCTCTCTGCACAAATTGAGTGTGCAAACTTGAGATGAGATRAGAATGAGTGAGGTTATGGTGCAAGCTGGCTTTGATAAATTGAAGTTTGATCTGTTCTAAGCTTTTATATAACTGTACATGTGTAGATACACCCCTGTACAGTGTAGATGGGTTCGTCTGACTTCAGTGTCATCATTAGAGAGTTTTCCAGGGAAACGTAGGTACTTCTGGCTCAAGTGTTTTTTAGCTTTAGTGTGTCAATAAAATGTATTCCATGCGCAATTTGTTAATTTTTCAAAGTCATGGCAAACTAGGTTCTAAGGCATGCATGGTTGACGGAGGCCCTTCTAAGCCTGGTTTGTGGTTTCTGTTTCCTGCCCTCCTTATCTTACTAACCTAAACCAAGCAAAGATTTTACAATACATGTATCATTGGTTTCTTTTATTAACAATCTTTTCATCATCATACATTTCTAATAATCAGAACGATAAGGTAAATACTGCAGGCTATCAAAGTTACACATGCTAATGCATGTAGTCCAGTCATGTACCCTGGATGCTCTGTTAAAATGTACAGCTACACTTCAATTCTTGTGTGAATTCTTTCCTAAATATATTTATATGATAATATATTAAAGTATGTGTAATCTTACTAGAGTTTTTTCCAGTTTCTTAGAGGAATTTTACTATGGTTGAGTTGTGAGATAAATCGGCAAGTATAGACTGCCGTGCAAAACGGCAGACTAGTTTAAACTTAAAGTAGTTATGGCTTAAAGTCAAAGCAAGATGGCAGTGTTTGTGTTCAATGAACACCTTTTTTCATGATAATGGGCAGTCATAAATGTTCTTATAAGGCACAGCAGCCACCTCGCTTTGATACTAAGACATGATTAACTTCTTCCAAGATAGAGAACTGCTAAGGTAGACTGTTTGGTTAATTCCCATACTATTTGAATATGCTATTTAATACAATGCTATACAACATTTCACATAAAAGTATTACTGGTAAGACCTGTTTACACTGGCAATTTTGATCCTTGAGAATATCAAATAATGCAAAGAATTAACTTGTAAACTTTTATTCAGTACACTTAGATGAGCTAATTTTAAAAACAATATATCTCGGAAGGATAAGACAAATTCTATATTAATATTTTTGAAAATTGCTTGGAAAATTGCAAAAAAAAATTGCCAGTGTAAATTAAAAAAGGGGCTGTTAGAACATTCTCGGAAATATTAGCTGTGCATCTGCTCACAAAGAGAAATGTAATTATATTCATTTGCTATTATTGCATTTGAACTGATACAATAATTGTATTTATAATTGTAATTATTATAAATAACACCATAAAAATGTTTAATAGATCAACTATTATGATTATGATAAATGTTCTAAAAAACTTAATAAAAAACTAAATCTGCCATTTTGTTTTTCTATTTCCAAGAATCGCATTTTATTATTAAAAACCAAGAATTCAAATTCCAAACTTTGTGCAACTAGTAATTTTTGATTCAAAATATCAACGTTACTGCTTCTACCACAACTCGAGAGATCTATAGCCCTAAAATGTCAGGGGCTCTACTACAAAATGAGTTGAAAAGAATAAAACTTGGCAAAAGTAATGTATTCAAAACACCTGAATTAATGTTATTGTCAAGTTAAATTTTCAATGTATGTTAAAAAAATTATATTTAAGTAAAAAGTTAAATTTTTAATTCTAAATCCTTATTCAAAATTTTTTTGAACTCAACCTTGTAGATTATTATATAAAATACACAACATTAACATACTCAAATCATCTATATTTAGTTTTACTAGATGAACATGGATAATTTATTATCCTTAATTACTATTTGAGATTGAACTGAAACATTTTTGGTTAAGTAAACTTTTACATCATAATATACTTTTTATAATTTTTCTTCAAGTGCTACATGTTCATGGTTGAGAGCACCTCTATACGTACCTCTTATGAGATTATTTTTTCCAATGGTTTCGAGTGTCCCTCATGGAAAAGAGAACAAAAAAGTTATTATCTCGACATGGACACTCTCTTCAGGCAACCTCTCATATGAAATGCCCCTTGTTAGATAAATGAGGTTACTATAACTAACTAAGTCTTTGTTATTCTTTGTTCAATTATTAACTATAGCTATTTCAAAAAAGGTTGTCATAGCAAAGAGCGAATGCATGACTGAAAGTTTAATATACTATGAGCGTGGATTATTGTCGGCAATCATGCATGAAAGGCAATTCAATAATGGTGATTGCAATGGTGATTTATTTGGTATGCAACCTTAATGCCCACATTAACTCTTGGTCGTGCAATCACTGTTTTACTCTGACAACTTTTTATTGAAATAGCTATATACAGGGACAAATGTTAGGGGTGTGTCCCATGGGACGGTGCACTTTTTACACCTCTTACACTTCCACAGTGCTCCATAGTTGCATATCAGTTCCTTCCTAAAATAATTGATGCCATCTGCCTTTTTGGGGTATATGAAAACTAAGGGTTGTGCCTCATGCGTGCACTGAATACTCCTCAAGCTTTTGTCCTAATTTCTGATCAATATTTGCTACCACGTCGTACTTAGAATATACAGTATGACATTGCTGGTTAATTAGCTACATGTCTGCAATCTCACTTATAATCACAATGAGGGTGAGTTCCTAGGTGCACTGGATATCAGACTCTTTTGAACTGTTACATCAGACCTCTCTTATTTTCATGATCACATACAAATCCTTGATTGCTCAAATTACTAAGATACATATTTATTATCACCAACAGTAGCCGATGATTGATTGCAGTAGATAGAACTAATTGCTCTCAGCTGCTGATATAATCATCAATGATTTTTTCTGGTATCATTAGCCATCTGGCGATTATGATTGATTAGGTGATTATGACTGATCATGTAGAAACCAGGCTGTATCAGTGTTGGTAATCTATAGAATAAAATGTACTCTTCCAATAAATCTAATCTAAGAATATACATGTATTTACATTGAAGTTCCAAACAGCACCAACTGTGGTGGATTTTGACTTCCAAGTGCAAGTTTCTCCCTGTCTAATCAAACGTTATCAAGGTCTAATTATCATGCTTTCCTTTTTGATTCACCTTTGAAATTTCTCTTTCTCTTTTTTTATGTGTGCGTATACATGTTTTGGACCACTGCTTGTTTTTATACTTGATTCACCAAGAGTAAGGAGCTTTATAATTGTTTCTCGACATAATCATTCAGACAGTACCATCGACTTGATGAGCAGGGCAAGGGCTATAGTCATGAGGTATAGCCATTGTGGTGTGCTGGTGTCTTTGGAGCTGTTACTGCTTGCTTCTTTGTTGGGGCTGTAGGGATCTGCGACAAATGTTTTAGTTGAGGTTATAAGACAGTTTTACCAATAATGGTAATGATTTTGGGAATGGCGATGATCAGTCCACAAAGACTGTTTCCTACAGTGATGATATTGAGTCCAATGAAAGATAGTAGGCCGAAAATGGTACTTCCCTCCTCTCGCTCCCCCCCCCCATCCCCCCTACCCGATTCAGTGTTGACTCTTGTTAGGTTATGACCTGCATATTTTACATTTAGGACTACCAACATTTGTGTTAAATTGTTATAAGGATATAAGTTTTTAAAGAGATTAGTCAACATACTCCATCTTAAACACAGGCAACAAAACTTATATCTGCCATTTATGAGCTCATAGTCCTCAAAGCAAGACAGGGAACGCATGAATTCATTAAGAGAACACTTTGAGAGAAAGCTTTGTTTAATTCTAGGAATATTCTTGTTTGGGGTGGCTGTTTAAGATATAAACCTGTATAAAAATAAACTACTTACCAAGTTTGATTTGAATTTCATTAGAAGGGTCTCCTTCATTGACTTTATTCAAAGCCCGTACTCTTATATCATAGGTCTTCCCTTCTTTCAGATTCATCATAGTGTGTTYTAAGTTATTACTACTAGCTCTTGTAGCTTTGTCCCATCCTATTCCTTCAGGCTTGTATTCTATGATGTATCTTGTAATTTTAGCACCACCGTTTGATTTCGGTTTAGTCCATGATAACTTGTAATAACTTTCTCCTTTGGCTTTGTTAAATGTAAGCTGCGATTGTAGGTTTTCTGGTGCTCCTGGTCCATCTATAATACAAAGAGAACATGAATTGCTAGCAAACCAATAGTGAATTATTTCGAAGGAATATATAATTTATAGATATATTTATAGGCATTAATTTTTGTGTTAACGCCTATATGGTACAGATGTCACTTGCATGATAACTTTATTGTTCAGGGCTCGAAATAACGGCCAGACATATGCAGGACAAGATGTCCTTCCAAATTCATTTTTGAAGGTCATGTCAAGTTTTGAAAGGACAAAAACTTTATCATACTATTATTTTTTTAAATTTATTATATAATGTTTTCTATTCAGAAAGATCGGCAAGCATTTGAATGGCTTGTAAAAAGATTTATTTAGCGAATTGAGAATTGATTTGTCTAAAAATGTGGCAGGTCAAATGTCCTTTCAAAACCCGATTTAGCTGGTCAACTAGCGAATTTGGAAGGACATTGTCCTTTGACCGGCTGTTATTTTGAGCCCTTATTGTTTGAATGTGAATCCTGTTGAAGTGTGAGGTATTTTGGATTTTTAATACTGATATTACAATAACACTATTGTGTTAAACACCTAGTCTTTTTACTAAGTCATTGTTGTGCTGTCTGGCAGTAATTTTATTGTACAAATATTGTTTTACCAAATAGAATATCATTCTAGCATAATTATGCAATGTGTTTAGAGGCAAGACAGAAGTTAGTGGAAATGACAGGCCACATTGTTGAATGAACATTTAGTACTTTCTAATGCATGGTGAGTCAATCAAGTCAAGCAAAATTTTGGATTCACTTAATAGTTTATAATTACACTAAAGGGTAAATTCACTATGTACACAGCTTCTACAATAGTTAGGGAATAATACATTACATAAAATAATATGTTATTTGCAATTGTTATTTTGCCTCAGGTTCTTTTACACAAATGGAAATTATGATATCCCATTAAACATTAAATACAATATAATTATAATTTGTTCATATAAACATTCATGAATTTTTCATCAAAAAACTAAAGAAGTGCTCCACAACAGTGAAAGGCATAAAATAGAAGACTACTACTGTATCACCATGATGTAAGGCTGTTGCTTCCTGTAATTGATACTTTTTAAAATGACATTATGAAAATACAGTAGTTAGTCCTTTACTACTCTTCTATTTTAATTATTATTTGTTCATATACATGTATATTTTATATTAAAATTGCATTAAACGAAAATAATTATCTTAAATTTGCTCACTCTAAGTTCCATTGCTTTGGCTAGTAGTTTCTAGAATTTATCAGCCTTTTTGTTTCTTTTAGTGTATTTTTCGTTAGGAAAGGAAATTTGAATAAGAACTAGACAGTCATGTAACACCCGCTAATTAAGGTGGCTGCCATTAACTATAATATAATAACCCTACCCCTTAAACTGACTATAATTACCAGAGAATATAACAAGCAAAAGTGAACAAAAAAACATTTTCCTGCTTTGTTTAATTCTCTTAATACATTTGATTAATAATAAAAATACTATCAGCATGCCATTAAAGAAATATTACTAACTATACATTTTGCTAATTTACGGATTGACACACAGCTTGTCTCCAAAGAAATCTGTCTGCAGTATCATTAAAGATTTGTGTTTTTGCGATACAAAGTTGAATGAGCCACCTGATCGAATTAAAAAAACTTGTTCACTAACTTTACAAATCCACCTGTTTTGGCTGACAATCAGATGACGCTTTATTGACATGTGGTCTATTTTCAGATAAAAAGCTAACTACAAAGAATAACGAGAATACTATTCTTGTCATTTTAGATTAAAAAGAAGCCAGTCATATTAAATTACATTGTTTGCAAGCTACTTTGTAGACTGAATGACTAAAAAAATTATCCATTTCAGCTTTTTTATGGTAAAAAACAATTCGCAGGCGGTTTTCCATTGTCTGTACTCTTATTGACAATGAAATTGATGTCAAATTATTTAGTAAATTGACATTTTTTGAGCAAATCCTTTAGAATGCACCACTTGAATTTATTATACAGTTGGGAAATTTTGTAATTACGGCAGCTGCTGGGTTGTCACCAACCGGTCAGAACAAATCTTGTCTATGGGCAAATAATTATTATTAATATTATGCTCTGCCAAACATTAAAGCAAAGGCTTGACCCACCAAAAGAAGTTAGTACAAAGGGGGCAAGCAAAAAGCAGGTTAAATGGGTTCAGGAAGACTCATAAAATTACCAGATAATTCTGATGTAAATTCAGCTAACTAATCATTAAGCAAATGCTGACATCTCATGTCTGGATATTAATAAATGTAAGGTATACTAAGTAACTGGTTGAACTAAGTAACTGGTTGAACTGAAAAAGGTGATTTTTACAAAAGGAAGTAAAAATTTTATAAATTATTATTTTGAAATTGCTGGGGTAAGGATCAATTTATGATTTAAAAATTTACTAACAGCTGTCTAGAAAGAAAATTATCAACTATTTTTTTCTGTTTCTATGGAAACACCCACACACATCCTGAACATCTCAGTTACCACTTCCCTCTTTAAACATCTTTTTAAAAAGCTGGTATTTGATTACTAGTGATCTCAAAATTAAATCCATAGATTGATATTAATCCTTATTGATTAAGTTTAAATTGCTGTTAAGTACTTTGCTTGCTAAAACATTTGTAGGCAAAGCTAAGACAATTGACCAGCTTTTTAGACTAAGGCTCTATGTTTACCCATTTTGTAAGAGGTATTATTCCCCTTAACAGGACCTCTTAGTTTTAATGGCATCTATATCCATATTTGCTAACCCCTCATTAGAAACAAAGGGATAAGACTTAAGTCTGCGGGATGTGACCAGAAAACAGATTTCTGTTTTCAAACATCTCAGGAGAGCACAATACGACTTTTCAGACTTTGTCACAATTTATACATTAATATAATTACCACATGGAAGAGTAGATTTAGATAAAGATTTTAGATGAATAATTTAGATGCCGTGGATAATTGATTGATCTGTTTGGGCTTCATTTTCTAAACGTGGTAGTCTGCAGATGGCCATAATTTGATGCAGTTTGACATGTGCCTATAATACATATTACATCCCTTTTACTCACTACTATTCCTTAAACCAAGGAAGACCTAATTATTTATAGAAATTGGAGCTAAGGATATGATGTAGAAATCCATATTAGTATGGCAACTCCATGAGTGTTTTAAGAGTTCTTTCAGGATTATATTGCTAATCAAGCCTTGAACAACTTGGCCTTTTTAAGTAGCTTTACTGACTTATAGAAGAAAGCTATGATTTGTTTTCATTCTCATAGTTTTTTATAAACAAAATGAATTTAGGACTAGAGCTACATGATTATTATTTTTAAAGTTATGTTTGTTAAAACTAATTATTGTGATTTTTACACGATATGAAATATATAGCATGCAATATTGAGTTACTTTGTTGTTGTTTGCTTGTTGCCGAGTAGTTTTTAATTTTACAGAAAATTGTGCTTACAAAACACTCAGTTTGATAAAGCACTGGTCAATATATCCAAAAGCATTTAATAAACAGTGCTAAAAAATGCAAGTGGATTGTTTTCATTTATACTTCAATACATAATATTAAAAGTTTATAATTTATGTAACTAAATATGTACTCACATAGTCGCTTCACAAGAATATTATGCTCCTTAACTGTCTTCTTCGTCTTGGCGATACAAGTATATGTGCTGAATTTATCGTCAGTTGAAGTAATTAATTTCAAAATACTCTCCCTGTTGGCGTCCACATGTTTCCCACGACTCATAGTCCGGTTGCTAGGCTTTTGTTGCCATGAGAATTCTACCTGTGTATTATCGGTTACCCTGACGGAACATGCTAGAGAAATCTGTTGGTCTGGCCAGGATTCTACCACATCGTCTGATTGCTTTTCATCAATTTGAAGATCTGAAAATTGTCACTTTTGTTTAGTGAATCATAAGATGATGATAACGATAAATATAATTATAATTTTGATCAAATACAGTAATATGCAGAAAGTATGTTCTTTTTGACTCATATTTCAAGTGTATACAAAATATATCAGAAATTTTCAGAGAGTACTATGCTAGTGAACTTCAAAAAAATATCAGCGATGATCATAGCTCTCATAATTTCTGATATATTTTATATATACTTGGAATATGAGTCAAATAGATCAGAATTTCTGCATATTGCTGTATAATAATAATAGTAAGAATGAAATAATAATAATACATGAATAAAAGTAATGGATTAAAAAATATAATCATGATCATATTTAAATTATAAAATGTATAGATTATCATAATTCAGCAATTATAAATTTTCCTCCACTCTTATTGGTCCAGAGTCGATTGCATGGCAAAATAGTGCCTGTCCCAGAGGAATGTTATCAGTGCATTGAGCCTGCACACTTTTTGCCTTCTTCTGAAAATTTTGTTGTAAAAAAAAAATACAGAGCAGTTTAATTCTTGGGAATTTCATGTTGTGGTAGCCGTGGTAGTTGCCCTTGCAAAATGTATGTGCCTCAAAAGGAGGATCGAATGTTATGAACAGAAAGTTTCATTGTAATTCTGCTTTCTTTGCTACTTCATTCTCTGCTTGCTGATTTTCACAYGCTTTTTAAGCACCTCTTTATTATAATGCAGTCTACAAGTAGCTCTGCTGCTGATTAGCTTATGTGTGGCTGTGTCATTTTATAATCAATAGACTACTCGAAATATTCAAGAGTTAAAAGACACCAATAACAAAGAAGGTTGTAGGGTAAGCAAGGTCAATAAAGGTCATGCATATTATCCTCAATGTTCTCAATAGTCTCTACCACCATAAATACACCACAATAACCACGAGGGGGCACCATTATAATGTCTTTTGTCGGAAACCTTGTGGCTTCTTGATGATATTTCCAAATACTGGAGTTCAACTTAAAAACTTTTTTACATGCCATTAATTTTTTTTCTGGCATTGTATATTGTTTAATGATAGAAAACATGACAATGTTTACTGTTATTTCTGTCAATATTTGTGCAAAATGTAAAAAGACTGTTTATCTATTGATATCACATTACTAATTTATGCAAATACGCTAAATGGTTATTTACTCAGACTCAAAGATGAGCTTAAACAACATCATTTTGACTGATCAATATTTCAAGAGTGAAAATTATTGGTTGAAGGTAGTGCTTCCTGTGTTTTCATAATATAAATACTAGTTTTTTCTAAAATTATTAAACAACAAACACTTGAAGAGAGCCACAATTTTTTTTCATTTCCTAACATCAATAAGTATTATGTTCAAAACTCACACCTTTGGTGACGATATTATAACAACAGATATTACAAATTTGATGGACTGTCCTAATGGTTTATGTTCAATCTTATGGGTGTGTGAAGCAGTAGCAAAAACTAATCTTTTTTGACTACATTTTAAACTCTTTTGTACCTTTATATTGCTGTTTTATTACGACAAAAGATCAATATCCAAAATGCCATGGTACATTTTCTATAGCGATATTTTCATATTGTACAAATTTATCTTTTTATCGTAGCTATTTCTTGGGGAACGGATGCCGATGCAGCTCAGTAGCTTAGCATTAGTTATCTTCTCTGTATCGGACCACACTTGGCTGCCACAAAAGCATATATTTGTCACGCACTATTCTCCTCAACTTAGTTTTAGTGATATTTTGTTCATGCCTACTGATCCAGAGATAGACACGCGTTTTGACTCGTGCAGTAAAGAAAATAATAAAAACAAAATTCTGCCATGACAATGAGGTGTTAAAAATAGCAAACTTTCAGTGTCTTTTTCAAACACAGGTAACACTTATAAATTTAAGGAATGTGTTTTTAAGTGTTCTTTTTTGGCCTGAAAGTTGAATTTGATCTTGAAGAGAAACTGGGTAGGAGAAAAAGACAAAGTGGATTATTTCTTTATTGTCTTACAACATATAAATTTAATGAATCAACAGACCTGTGTCATTGTAGTTATAAGTTCTTGGTAACTAAAGGAATGTTTAGCTTACTAAAAGCTGCAAAAGCTATGTACATTGGACAATCACTGCAAAAAGTCTACATTTCTTGTTCTAGTTTCCCATGTTTTCACACGACAGGGGGTCGAAGTTGCTCTCAACAACATGCTTGAAATACAATGTACTCTTTCCACAGCTGTTGAGAAATGACCTGTCGTTTGAAAGACAAATGACAGAGTCCATTCAATGAAAAGTGTCATCATGTTTAGCTTGTTTGACAATAAAGAGCTGTGATTTCGTCTCCGTTTATAGCATTGAGGGAGTTGCCTTTCGTGATATTAATAGTCATATCTCTAGTGTAGAGTAATTTGAAAGCTTGTCTTAGTGACAATATGATAAAGGATGTTTTTATAGAGGTTTAAGCCTTGAGCAATGCAGCTATGGTAAATAAACTTTTGTCTTTATTGGAACAATTAGGCAGGAATAACACTAAAACGCTTGCAAACGGTTCTCAATTTGCAGTAAATCCTCGCTAATAGAGTTATCCAGTTGACAACTAATTGAGTTCGACAATAATATCAGATCGTAAAGCATTCAAGTACTGTTGGAGTTATCGCAACGCTAAGCCGCGCGGCTTACATTAGGACGTACTGATAAGGTCGAGACCTTTTTCTGAACACAAAAAGACTGAACCACATGGCTGGTTTATGTTTTTCTTTCCTATTTTGCCATTAATAATTAGGGTCTCGTAGAGCTGATAAGGTAAAAAAGACCATCGTCTTCGACAAAGAGAAAAAAATTTCCTTAATCAGTTTTGCTAAACCACAAAAACCATGCCTTTGGCCTGTCGAGGCTTAGAAAGTGGAACTTTCAGCATCTATATGAGTCGACGTGTGAGGTATTTTTAAGAGCTGGACATTCGGTGTTTTAGATTCTTTACTCACGCTCCATTAGATAAAAGGTTAAAGTTTGGCTGAGAAACGATTAATAAGTGTGAGTAATCTAGTGCATCGAAGCGCATTTCGTACCAGTGTTTGTCTTGCATATGCTAATCGATATAAATGTATAAACAATTTGAAAGAATCTACCCTTTGGAAAGCACTCGACTATGACCACAACAACAAAGAACAAAACGTGTTAGTCTAGGTTGATGGTTATTGGTAAAAGTAACAGGACGCCGTCGCAAAACGTGCTTGTGATACACGGCGATCTTTTCTCTGAGCACACGAGCGCGTTTCAATAGTGATGACGTGCTTTCGTTGTAACGAAGACAGGTGCAAGTGTTTCATAATTCTTGCAGTTTTCTGAAAACGAGTTGTGACTCCTAGAATTCGCTAAATAAACTTAAATAAAACCCGTATCTAAAGTCGTTTGGACTCGTGGAATTAAATTATCACGCGTGTCATTCTTTATTCAAATAAATTTTTAGAAAGTCAAATTTCTCACGCTGAAGTGAGTGATGAGATGGGAACGTGTTTGCTAATCAAATTCCTGTACTTTGAGTTTGCATAGGAAAGGATTTTATCAAGGAATTTTATGAACGGGGGTTTCAAAACATCTTAAATAAAGGTATTTAGTGTGCACATATATTAATACCAAATGCACGTATTTTTATTGTTATTATTATTTGTTGTTACTTACCTACAACTTTCAGAAATACAATATCTCGTTTGCCAGACATTGTCCAAGAAACCGGGTTTAAGAAGCAAAAATAATATCCAGTGTAATTTAATTTAACGTTTGCTATCGCAAAACTGGCTCGCTTTCCTTGTACTGCCGTTATGCCTAGCTTCTGGGCCGGTCGATAAATATAAGTGACGAAGTCCTGACCGGGCTGCTTTTTCAAATAATTCATTGACGTGCTTCCAACTGCATCATTCGATTTTCCAAATAACACGCTCTTTACTTGGTTGTCTTCGTCTTTATAGTCCCAGTCGAATTGAACCGAATCTCCTACGAATATTTCCTTTTTCTTGGGTTTTGTAATGAAGTGGGCAGTAAACTTGGCGGTCACACTCTCTACGTGGACAAGGAAATTGAAATTCAGAGAAATAAAAAAAACAAGAAAATCGAAGAGGGAGAGTAAAATGGCAACTTCATTTCGTGATCAATTGCTTTGACAGCAGAAACAATAAACTCACTCACCGTTGATTAAAAACACGGTTAGGAAGATAGCCAATTCGAGAATTATTATCGATCTTGGTTGACTAGATGTTGTGAAAGCCATTCTGCGGTGAAGTAAAAGGAGCGTTTGCTCTACCAGTCGAGGATGAGATTTTTCCTTGTAATGTCACATGGCCACTGGGACCAAAACGTTAAGGCTCAGTTCATTTAACAGAGCGAATATTCAAAGGTCGTGTGATGACCGTTCTTTGTTCTGACTATCAGTCACCAGCCAGCTGCATTTTGCTCGGACTTGTTGGGGCTGATTTATTATATCAGAATAGAATTAAACATCACGTGGCATGACGTAATTGTCTTAGGGATTTGCCGCCAAAATGGCAAATACCTCGTCAATTTTGATCATTTCTTCAATAATTTCTAGTGACTTCGGGGGTTCGGAGGTTTGGTTTAATAAGCTTACTCGGCGTTGGAAGTAAGACAGAGGGACTGTTGTATTATAAAAAATTGATCATGAGTACTCGTCAGGAATCAATGTCAAATGTTGAGAAAAGTGTCAATCGAATTTCCTGTTCAAGTTAAATGTTTTTGTACGATATGCGTTCGTAGAATGTTTGCCGCAAGTTTCGACTAAAAGCATTCGCTTTTGGACTTATTCTTAGGCCTCTCTAAGATCATAAAATAATGTATTAGAGAGCTCGTTGACTGGCGCTGTCAAACAGACAACTTCGATATGTACTTTCGAAGTCCATAGAATAAACAAACATACCGGGCACTGCCAAGACCTCATAAATTAGAGGAGTATTTTTGCCAAGTTATCAAAATAAATTGCCAATAAACTTCTGGCGTCGAAAAAAGGAAAAATTTAGGTTTTCAAAATATATAAATTTTATGAAATTTTTGTTCTCTTTTAATTCTCTCTCTGGAATGAAATGCTCTTCCTAAAGGCGGCATGGAAACCTGGCATATCTCAACTAAATTTTGTCTACAAGTACAATTTTAGGCGTTTATCGTCAGATTCTCATGATAATGTAATTTACAGGGAATAGATTTATTTCCTGAGATTCCAGTAGATAAAAATAATAATAGCATCATTACCGCGCGAAAGTACTTCCATAAAAACATGAAAGAAACGAATATGACCTCACTGAAATTTGTTATTACCTGACAGCTTATACCCAGCCGAGGTTTTGCTAACATTTGAAATTGAAAAGCTCATATTTGAATCGAAACTAGCACTTCTCGGCATGATAGAGGTCGTAATACAATACCCCTTTATTAGCTTGCTAATTTAAGAGTAATATTTCGAAAAAGTCAAGTTCTGAGTCACTTTCAAGTAGAAAATGGACCGTAATTAAGACAAAAAAGAGATATTTGGGAACTATTTGCTATATTTATAAAGAACTGGCCGCGATTTTCATCAATTAAGGAGATTACCTAATGCCCAATAGATTGAGCGATCTTTTATTGAAATATAGTCAAATCCCTGCGTTAATATTTCATAATTTCAGTCTGTTTGATCTCCCTTAATAAAGAAGGAAAAAGCCGAGCTTTTATGAAGTCGTTCCTGTTGAGAATTTTTCAAAATGTTTTTATTTTTTATCTTTCTTGTCTAGTAAAATGACCCACTTATAAAAGATCTTTCGCTTGCCTCTAAGCACCGTTTTGTAAACAATTATAGCGATTGCATCAAATTTTAAGTTCCCTCAGCCATTTGGGTTGAATAATTAGTTGATTTAGCAAAAATTCATGAGATATACGATACTAGATCGAAAGCCAGAGAGTGAAATCTGGTCGAAAGTAAATGAGAAACTGAGGAAATAGATATATATACTGTTTTTAAAGCTCTTTCAGTTTACTGTAATCCGGTCTAACCTCATCCGCTATGAGACTAAGCTTTGCCAAAGAAGATATAATTCATGAAAACAACTCTCTATATTTTGAAATAGATATATCATATTATATATATGTCGTTCGAGCCGGCATCGGTCGCACGTGACTGCGAAAACTGTTACTACTCCGATCTCCGAAAGTGAACTTGTGGACAATACAACTGTTCAAATTCCAAGTCAGATTTGGCTAAAAAAGCTATTTTAAGGCCGCGAAATTTAAAAAACAATAATATCCAGCATCGTTAGTTTCAAGCTTGACAACTAGCTTTTCTTTTTAAACAACGTTATTTTGAAAATCAACCTTCAGATTGTCAGTTAATTTATTTTTTCTTATTGATAAGACAGTTCAAAATGGCCATTTTTTTCTCGATAGTCAGAGTCGTCTCTGAAAAAAAAAGATTCTTTTTTGATGATCTGACTTAGTCTACAATAGGAATATATATATATACAGCCTCTTAGATTCTCTGATATATATTTTGTAGGCCGGAGGGATAAGTAGCCATAATATTTCTTCGCTAATATAATCTTCTAGACATATATGATCCATCATTTAGAAATAATCTCTCGCTAAAAAGGAATTTAATTGTATTGCCATGAATATATTTATTCCTTCGTTACTGTTAAGAAGCGCATGTACGTCAGAGAAAGACATTTCTGAAAGATAATGTCGTCATCTTGCCATGAATTGTAGGAATTCTCATGGAGGGCTTCCAGGACACAATGGACATTCGTGCATAAACCAAAGCGAAAAATAAATTCTTGACAATTAAAATTTATGTTTTCCACCGCATTGATCATGGTATTTTCCAAAATAATCCGGAAACGTGACTAGAATGTAATTAAAAAGATATGATATGACCAAAACATTGCTTCTATATTTCGTTAGAGTTCATGTCAGAGTATATGGAGTTCTATTTTAGTCTTCCTGTTTTTAGTACATTTTCGTATGATTTACATTGACTGCTGCACGTGAGTCGCTGAATTTAGCTTATGAGAACAGGCTGCGTAANTACAATCAAAATTGATATGTAAAAGGGTTGTCATGCTGTACGGACACAATCAAACATGGACGGAAATATTAGGGTTGTTTATAGAAACGGTATCGTCTAAATAGATTCCGATTGAGGTCAACGTGTAGTTTTGATTACTGTATAGGAGGCTTTGCGCGTCACGCACGTGCTCTGACACTCGTATGTTAGGCAATTGTTTTCCGTTTATTATTGTTTTATGTTCATCAGTCAATCTTAAAAAGAGAGCCATTTCGTATTCTGAGTTAATTTTGTATTTTGATTTTGTATTTTTGTATTTTTGTATTTTGTAATTTTAGCAGAGTTTTTGAGGTCATGCCCCTGTTGTCTCGTGTTTTTAAGGACCGGTTCACACTGTCACATAAGCAGAAGCGTGTATTTTGTATCTGTGAACCGCGGTGAAAATAGAAGCAGAGACAAAAGTAGATGAAATTGAAAACTTTTTCATTTTCTTTTGCTTCTGTTTCTGCTTGTGTTAAAAGATTATGAGTGTGAACCCGGACATCATAAGCAGAAGAACATGCTTCTGTCAACTGTGGACTTGTAAGCTTCTGCTTCGGTTTCTGCTTATGTCAAAGTGTGAACCGGTCCTAAGTGTTGCTTGGAAGAGTCTGTTCGTCTCGTGAATAGAAACCCTTTTATAGCAGCGACGAAAGCAATGGAGACGACAAACGATAGTGCATAAACAATCCTTTTTTTTACTACTGCTTGCCAAGTTTTGTTGTAAATCTGTAAATTTTATATATCGACAGAACGTGAAAAACGCCTTTTTTTCGTTCAAAGCGAGCAACCACTGCTTTAATTGACAGCAGTCTCTCATGAGCATAGACCTTACCAAAAACAAAAGAAAGCACGAAAAAATGTTGTCATTACAATAGCCCTATAAATTTGCATTTCCTCCGATTCTGTATTCCCAGAAGGTTCAAACTCTTGCTCAGGCTAAGCCTCAAATTGGTGAAGATTCAAATTTCTAGAGACATTGTAAAGTCAACATTTTTTCGTGCTTTCTTTTGTTCTCTACGCAAGTGAGTCTGTTATCTACAAAACAGCGGTCTCTCGCATTGAACTGGAAAAAGGCTTTTTCGGACATTTCACGTCGCATTTTGTTTTGCTGTTTTTCGCCGTCGTCGTTCTCGTGGCTGCTAAGAACCCTATGTTTAACTAGTGCTGAGCACACATTTCATTTGATTGATTTTTATTCTCACTAGTGAATAGAAATTTCACATTATCTTTTACGAATTGAGGCCGAAAAACTTTATTTGTTTGTAAGCAGTCACTAGGGTTACCATTACAAGTCGCAGCTGTAAACTGATTGGGCCTCCTGTGCCATTACTGTAATTAATTTGAGTATTACTATAGTGGAAGTCCAGTTGGCCTAATAAGGGATAACTCATTAGAAGATTCAGGGTGCCCTACAGCCATGTACTCTGTTGTTTCGTTTCTAGAAATATGCACATTTTATTCTTATTC